CCCCAATGCAGCAATTACCCCCACCCACGAGAAACAGCCAAGTGGAGCAGCGAGTAGCTATTTAAGCTGCCCGGGGAGCTGTTGGGGATTAGGTGTCTTGCTCAAGAACACCACGACATGTGGGCGTGGCAGGGAATCCAACCTGTGACTTCCTGGTCCCAAGTCAGCTGCCCTACTGCACCACGGCCGTCCCATTTATACACAAATGCACAATTTAAATTACTTTTGCTATTGCCAAAAGCAGTATCGCTCCTCCTGAAGGACATATTGTACCTGGCAGACTGATTTCAGCTCATCAGGTTTAATGTAACCGCAGCAGATCATGGAGGGCTTGACCTGAAACCACCAGTAATCCATCCGTTTGCAGGTGTCGTACGGCACGACAGGCAGATCCACCTGGTTGAGGGTCTCTGAAGCTTTAGCATTAAGCGAGTCACCTGATCAACCAAACAAAGCTTTTTAGACAATGTTCTGTTCAACAGCAGAAATATTTGTCCAGCAGGTGGCATCCAAATTATATGACAATGAAACTTTTAGCAGCACAAAATGTTCTGTTTGGGTCACAGTGTTTTTTTCTTTTTACCCTGATCTAAGATAACACACAAAAAATTGATGTTATATTGGTGTAATCATTCAAATATGGGGAAAAAGCTGTGCAGAAACAGCACCTGTCTCGTCTCCCCAGCCTGTAGCATAGCACTTCTTCCCTGCAGGGAGGACTTCCTCCTCAGAGGGAAGGCAGGCAAACGATATCTCGTCTCTGGGAACCACAGCCTCAGCCAGCCTCACCAGGGCGATGTCATACTCTACAGAGGGGACGGTGGGGTACTCGAAGCCCTCGTGACGATGGATGCCTGATATGTTGATGCAGCTTTCGCTCGGCTCTGTGTAGGTCAGATTGTGCTTGCCCAGGCACATGCGCCAACGATGCAACTCATCGGCATATCTGTCAATAAATTAGGAATTATACTTGACAGTGAAGCGTAAACACACATGCATTAGCTATACTGAACATTTATTTTCATTGTGAAACGTTTGTTTTAAACATTAACAGTGTGGTAGTGACCATCTTTTTAATAGGACTGAATAAACACTAATAATTAATAACCTTATAAAGCAGTGGGCTGCTGTGAGCACCCAGTTCTTATGAATGAGAGTGCCACCACAGATGTGAGAGAATGATGGCTCAGTCTGACTGGAAGGCCAGACCTGAAGCAAACACAAACAAACAAGAGAATTCATAAAGATTAGATCTATTATTATGAACTAATGAAAAGGCTTGGAAGTATTTCTGCTCATCAAGAGACGGTTATAAATAAATATAAATTTTCTCTATAGGTGGAGATTCTCACCTGCATGGACACCTGCCAGGGCCAGGAGTGTGCTGTGGCTGGTTCTCCATTCACAATGCGAGAGAGGACAGCAGGAGGAATCGCTGGTTTCCCGCATGTACTGGGCCAGTCTACCGGAGATGTTTACATGTGAATGAAGCCAAATTACACAGCACAGCCTGCAGCAAGCAGTTCTTATTTTTGCAGCAATTTTCACTCAACGACTCTGATCCACTGATTTATATTTATCACAATCCGCCATGTGAGTGTGTTTGTTGAAACACCAAAAGAACCAGCAGCCGGCTATAAATGAAATTTTCAGAAAGGAATACCTGGATAAACATCTACATCTGACTAACATTTGGAGTCATTCCCAATTCAAAGATGGCTGCCACAGCTAAGGTATGTTTTAATCCAACACAAAATTGGCTATAACTCAATCAATTGTACAGATGTTGAGCTCAAATTTAGTGTGATAGTAGGTGATAGTCATCCTCGTGACAACATGAACACTAACACGTCTAACAAGATCTGACATTCTTAAAAGATCGATCATAGTGCCAATTAAAACAGCATACGATTATCTTAGTCTAATTATTCAAAGGAATGTTTGACCTTAACTATTTAATGTAAACTTTCAGACAGATGCATATCTTCATGGTTTGGCTCCCACTGATTAATGAACATTGATGGATGCAAATTATTCCCATAAAAAAGGCGAGCTTGTCTTTTTCCTCATATTCTTTCCCCTCTGAGTCATGACTTATAGTGTGACGCTGCCAAAGCTTGGATGGTGGTGGTGGTGGTGGTGGTGNCTTATGAGCAGCATCCATAAAACTCAGTTTCAGCAATTGGTTTGTCAGCAGCCACCTGGGGCTCATTGCTGGGTGAAGAAATGAAATCAGGAGACCACAAGCAGGGGAAGGAAGGGAAACAGGAAGCCATCTTACCATGCACCAACATCTTAACCACATAAGACAGAGGTGGGACAAAACTCAAAACCTGGTCCAAGCCTAGGGTCAGTCTCTTTTGAGGTTAGTGTTACATAACAAATCACTCCTATACAACTGCAAATTACCTTCTCCAAATTATACATTATGTGGCGTTTAGAGCATACATAACCTAACAGATAGAGAAAAGATTAAAATTAGAAAGACATAACTTATCACAATCTAGCGAATGAATTAAAAAAAAAACAATCTCTCTAAAAATCTAATTATTTGACTTTAAAAAACAAAGAGAACACAGAAAAAGACAATTAAAATCAATTCTAAATGTTAACAAGGGTCAGATTTGACCAGTAGACTTTGAGTTTGACACTTGTCTCATGGAAGTGAGAGAATGGGGACAGGTCAAAGATAAGAGGGCAATGAGAAAAAAAATCTAAATAAAATAACAGATATAGATAAGATATACTGTAGTTTTATCATTTTAAAGATGCTGCAGTGTATGATAAATAGAAAATTTTGTCAATAATTTAAGGACTATTGACACTTAAATAAAAAGGACATATTTTTCATTAAGTCTCAGGACGTATAAAAAAATGCACTGACTTTAATTCATTTTTGTTGTTTTAGGTTGCCAGTTGAATCATTTTGGAGTATTACAATACAGATCAGTGCTGCTTTAAATTCCTTCTCTTGTAGTGTTGTTCAGTTTATGTTTGTAGGCTGACACAGAGACTCTACCTATGGGGATGTCGTCCCACGGGTTTGGCTGAACAGGCGGCTCAGTGGGAACAGGAAGACCGGGCTTTGTAGTCCAGTAGGCTCTGAAGCCTTTAGCCTCAGTAAACAGATCTGTATGAAACCGAATCAGCAACCTGTTGCCTTTTGTCTGGATGCCCCCAGGCAGCTCAGTTCCACAAAATGGACCTAAAAAGATTGAACAAATATTTTCAGCATGGGAAAAAAAAGGCTACAAAAACTCAGGATATCCTGGACTGGTTAACAGAGCAAACAGTTTAATTCTTTAAAACTTAAGATGGTAAACTGAATACTGATGATTGGTTTAATCTCGAAGTATTATAAAAAAATAATCTTTTTAAGAACTCCACTTACCGTGCGTTTGGATCAGTGTATTAGTCAAACCATTGATGTCATACAACATTATGTTATCGTAGCATTTAGATGTTAGAAAATCTTCGGCTTCCAGGTCAAAGTGGGTGAACGTGAGGCTGATTTTTTTCCCGAAAGGCACGGCAATGTTCCACATGCACTCTGCATTAGCCTTGTAGTTCATTGGCCAGTTCTGGGACTTGATGATCCCAGCTTCCTCTTTGGAAGAAAAGCCACAGCCCAGGATTTCTGCACGAAAACGAAAGGAAAATTACATCGTTATGTTAAATTCATTTTTGATAACAAGTGGATACATTTAAAGGAGATAGATGAAAATGCAAACAATAATTCTAAGTGAAAAATGCTGTAAAATCTGCACACTTTATGTAGTTCTGTAGGCATTTCTAATTAGTAATAATTAGATATTAGATATTATTATTAGTTATTATTAGTTAATAACAATACATTTTTCACATTTTCACCACAAGGAGTAAAAAATGTGGGAAATTAGGTTTAACTTGGTGTTTATGGAGTGACACTGAAGCCTTATAATATATAAATAAATATGATTAAAACATGACCTTATAGCATTTTATGGTTAAAACAATGAATTTCAAAAACTGTATTTGTAAATGCACTGTAGGCATCAAAACAGCTGCATGTTAAAATAATATCTCAGTTTAAAAAGTAATTTGAGTATATTTTGTAATAAGTTCAAAGCTCTGCTTATCTTGATCTAAGGTGAGCTTTTTAATAATTAAATCTGAGTTATATTTTTACTTTGTTCTTTCAACATAAATGCAGTGTCAAGTCTCCTCGTCTGATAATCATGTTGATAAAAGACGATAGAATTTTATCTTAAAGCTCGTACTCTGACCTGTAGTTTGACAGAACTCACATAGCTTATGCAACAGCTTATTATGTGCTGAAGAGATTTTTTTGTGGTTAGATAGTGAGGTGCAGAGGTGATTCAGTGACTTGTGCTTCATGTGTGTGCGTGCTCCTGTGTGGATCTGCCACACAGTCCTCAGCACCTGCAATGTCCTCAGGATACACAGCCTCCCACCTGGCTGAGAATCCTCGGTCTGTGAGGCGACTGTCAGACTGAAAGGTGACAGAAACGGTGTTACTGGCACTGACCAGCAGTGGGGGGAGGATGTGGCCACAGTTTGTACCTGAAAAAGACAGGGCGAGAGGGAGCAGGGGTAAAAGATGGAATGTTTAATGACAGCAGAGATAACAGATGCTACTTATGCAGGATCTATGGATAAGAATTTTGTGGATTATTAGCTGAGTGGGGCCAAGACAAAACTTGGACTGCTGCCCATCTTCAAATGCATTTTTTGGCAGTTCAAATGCTATTTTACAAACCTTAATACTGTTGGTGATTTCATATTACATCATTATACAGTAGAATAGTTACTCGCCCGAAAGTCAAATCTTGGATTTAGGAAGATCAGTGTGGTTTTCATCCTGGTTGTGGAACACTGGACCAGCTCTACACCCTCAGCAGGGTCCTGATGGGTGCACGGTCAGGACCCTGCTCTCTCAACCAGTCTACATGTGTTCTGTGGACTTGGACAGGATGTTTGACTGTGTCTTTCAAGGAGTCATGCAGGGGGATGGGGGTATACTAGGCCCTTTGAAACGGGTTGTTGGGTCCCTGTGCAATCAGTGTTAGAGCTTGGTCCGCATTGCCAGCAGTAAGTTGGGCTTGCTTCCAGTGAGAGTTGCCCTTTGTTACCAATTCTGTTCATAACTTTTATGGACAGAATTTCTAGGTGCAGCCAAAGCATTGAGGGGATCCAATTTGGTGGCCTTAGAATTGAGTCTCTGCTTATTGAAGATGATGTAGTCCAATTGGCTTCATCAGATCGTGATCTCCAGCTTTCATTGGAGCAGTTTGCAGTTAGAGTGTGAAGCGGCTGGGATGAGGATCAGTGCCTCCAAATCCAAGACCATGGTCTTGAGCTGGGAAAGGGTAGAGTGCCTCCTCTGGTTTGGGGAAGAGGTCCTGCCCCAAGTGGAGGAGTTTAGGTATCTCGGGGTCTTGTTCACTCACTCACTGTACAGAGAGCTTTGGCTTTAGGCCCAGCTCTCTCTTCACAGGTCGATCTACATTCCTACCCTCATCTATGGTCATGAGCTCACAGATGCAAGTGTCTGAAAGCAGTTTCCTCTGCAGGGTGTCTGTGCTCTTCGTTAGAGTTAGGGTGAGAACCTCGATCCTCCGGGAGGGACAAAGTAGAAGCGTTGCTTCTCCACACAATGAGGAGCCAATTGAGGTGGCTCGGGCATCTGGTTGGGATGCCTCCTGGACGCCTCCCTGCAGGCCTCTCTGCTTAGGCTGCTGCCCCCGCGACCCGACCCCAGATAAGCAGAAGGAAATGGATGGATAACAGCCACTTTAGTTATTATGTGAGCTCAAACACAATGCAGGAAAGCAGGTAGATATCTGCTTTGTTTGTAAAGGCTTCACATAGATTTGTTCTCACTGCATTGCAGCCTTTTACCCTCTATTGAAGATAATTTATTTTAATGATCAGACATAAAAGGTTCCATACTGCTGTGTCCACAAGAAGAGGTTATGTTCAGTAAACGATGACCAATACATTTCAGTGTAGCATTCAAATTATGTGTTTCTTAGTGGTATTGGATACAATTCAGACCTTAATCAGCTTAGCTGAATAATGAGTAGTAATTTAGTTTGTAAGGTTCTTTGCATTAAAATAAATGTCAACAGGCAATTTAGCTATTTTTTTGTGAAAAAAGAAATTCACCAATACAAGCAATGCATCCAAGCAGATGCACTTTCGCTTCTTGTGTTTAGAATACTTATCAGTAACATGTGCAAGATATAACTTTATTTCACAGACAAATACAAAAGTAAAACAATTATTTCTTACAGGACTTGCTCACCAAGAATGCTGTAGGTGTCTGAGACGATCAGCTTATCCCCTTTGCATTGTCCCGTCTCTCCTGTGATGGCCAGGTCTGTGATCTGCAGCTTAACCAGAAGGCCTCTGGACACAGATATCTTCCAGGAATCATTGGAATGAGCAGGATAGGAGTTTGGGTACCCTGAAGACTGGATGACACCTTTCCTCCCTTGAATAACTACAGGACCGCCACTTCCTGTGGTGAAAACACAAGATACTTGATCAAACACCGCCCTTCATTTTGCTAATTGTTGTTTTTGTTTAAAGTGAAAACTGAATCTAAAGTTGTTGTTTTTTTTCCTCTGTGTCTGAACCTCATTTGTTAGGACGAATGTCTCTGTTATTTTGCAGCTGATGGGGAGCAGCATGCTTTGATACAGAACTGCTCTTCTGACAGATCCATTATAAAGCACCTTAATTGGCCACAGGAGAAAATGGCTCTGCTTGCCAACAGTTAGATACAGTGATGAGTGGATGAAGCTCCGGAGAGATCAGTCCTTCAGTGCATTCATCCTCAACTGTCACATGATTCAAGCTGCGTCTGTGCTCGGAGAACTAGGAGCAACACGACGAAGCCGCAGGGCGAAAGGTTCACGTTGCAGTCATTAGGGACACATTCTTTAAAACACTAATTACAAACCTTGAAAGAAAACTGTACAAACTATATGAATGAGATTCCTAAGATGTCAGTGACATGTACTGTAATTTCCTTTGTTATTTTAAAGGTCTGTGTGAAATTTATTTTTAAAGACTTGTGCTGTCGAACATATTAACTCACTCCACTTTAATCTCCATTGTGAACAGGACTCATTCTTGTCTTTACTGTCAGTCAAACAAGATTTAAAATCGCAAATTAAAAGCCAAGCATTCCTTGCCCATAGTCTTTCATTCAGTTTAAGACTTTCCTAAGCTGAAAGATTACAGAGAAAAAAAATGAAAATAACAAAATGTGAAATCTCCTGTTACATCATATGTTGTGAATACTGTAAATCTCAGCTACTACACCACATTTTAGATCAGTATCTACGTATAAAAAACTCTGGCCCCGCCCATGCTCACACGTGTTTGTCATTTCTCCTTGATTAGTTGGCCTTTATAGTCTGTGTCTTGGCTCTTGTTCCCTTGTTGGTGCATTTTGCTTTCCAGGCTCTTCATGTTTGTGCCTTGTTGTTTTGTTCCTGTCATCATTATATTGAAGTATTTTTGTCGCCACAACAACCTTTTGTTTTGTTTATTAAAAGTCGTTCCTTTCCTTTGAGTTTTTTATTTTTTTGTTCTGCACTTTTGATTTCAACCATCTTCATAAGTTATGATTTTTAGCTGTAGCAGCCATCTTGAATTAGGTTGATTCCAACATTTGTCACTTATAGTGATTTATTTTCTGAAGGTTTTATTAAAAAGAAAAGAGGTAGATAGATTTTTTTCTTCTTCTGCTGCCTCTCATTTAATTTATGATTTGTAAATTTATTGTACGTATATAGAATTTGTTTTTTAAAATAAATTAATAAACATTATAAAAAATCCACTCTGATTATTTTGCTAACAAAAATGGTGTCAATTCTGTGGAGTTAAATAGGGGCCATAAATTTTATTTAAAAAATTGAAACAAAAAAGGAGATTTGAAACTGTAAAATAATTTTGAAACTGACAAAAATTATTGAAATTGAAAAAAATATTTGAAACTGACAATGTTTTAGAATCTGGAAAAGTTTTAAACATCTTATCTTTTCAGTTTCAAATAAAGTTTTCAGTTTCAAAATTGTTTTTCAGTTTCAAGTCTCCTTTTTTCAGTTTCAAGTGTTTTTTTTTCTTATTTTGAACAAAACTTATGATCAAATTTAGCTCCATAAATCACAACAGGTAATGTGAAAGTTAAAGGCAATGTTTCAACCTTAGAGTATGCATTGAGGTCAATGCTCAGCTACCACCACCTCAAAGTTTGGCTCAACATCTATAGAATTACCAAAGTTGAAGCCATCTTTGTGTTTTTTTTTTCATATTGATTGTAGCTGTACATTCATTGATTACTTACTGAAAGTTTTAGCAAACTTATCATGGTTTTAAGTCCTTTTTTTCATTAAATCATTCATTTTTTATATAAAGTGGAACTGCAATCATTAAACTTTTCTGAACTCCTAGAGACTCCAAGTATACAACAAAACGTATTTGACAGCTACAAAAGTAGATTTTGCGTGATATGTCCCATTTAAGCTTCATTCATTGACTCATGAGATATTTTCCTAATATGAAAACACATAGAGAGAGAGAGAGAGAGAAAGAGGCAAAAACATTATAGCTCCACAGTGACAGAAAAAAAACACAGCACATGACAGTGCCTGCTCTCACTTTGAAAGCCCTGAAAAATAATGAAAGCAGAAAATTTAGATGAGTGTCCTGATCACTTTAAGAGATCTGATGAAGCGGAATGGCACCTGTTAAAGAATATATTAATTTCTGACAAAAACCAAAGAGTCTCAGCAGCAAGTCAGATGGAGCCAAGATGAAGAGTGAACGTCAGATTGACTGTGACGTCTACAAAGAGAAAACCTGTCCATAAATCTCAAAGCCGTGCAGAACCTGACAGCTCCAGCTCTTTGTAGTTTCCCTTCGGATTTTCTGTCAGTTCAAGTGTAATAAATGTGCACATATTACAACCCACCTGAAACTACAGGGACAAGAGCAGCTTCTAAAGCAGAAGTTACACAAAATTTATGTAATATACGTTTCCAGAATAAACTGCAATATTTTAAATCCTGCACTACTTATAAAAAATGCAAATATTTAAAGTTTAAAATAGTTGGCAGAGGACTGTGTTTTAATGTTATTTTTTTGTCTGCACCATGGAAAAAAAGATGGATTTTAATTAAATTCTCAGAAAGTAACAAATGCATGTACAACTATAACTTTATTATGTTTTCAAGACAACCTAATTCAAGATGGCCACTACAGCTAATCCACCTTAGTAAACAAAAAAATTGGCAACAAGTCATTTTCACAAACATTGAGCTAAAACTTGGTGAGGTAGTAGTTGAGACTCATCCCCAATCATAATTTGAGAGCTAACAATTCTTGCAGCATGCTTGTTTAGGGTTTAACTGTCAACACTGTTTGCAAAACATCTCATCCAGAGAATACCGAGTGTGCGAAGAAGTAATCAAAGCAAAAGGTGGCTTTGAAGAACCTAGAATATAAAACATATTTTCAGTTGTTTCACACTTTGTTTAAGTATATAATTCCACATGTGTTTATACACAGTTTTGATGTTTTCTGTGTGAATCTACAATTTTCATAGTCATGAAAATAAAGAAAACTCTTTGAATGGGAAGTGTGTCCAAACCTTTGGTCTGTACTATATATACAGTATATAAATATAAATAACAAGTCCAAATCATTTTTATTTCTATTAATAATTATTATTATTAAATAATTTTGTCAGCAAGAACTATTGTCTGCAGAAATACTGGGAATATGTGACACCACTCAGTGTGTTTTACTTAAATATGCATGTGTGATCATGTGCATACTGTTGATTTTATGCTGCAAACACATTCCTTTTATACATTTATACCATGTCCAGATATTATCCATTCATTACAATAGATAAGGGGTAGAATTAAATAAGTTTATACTTCTTCCTACTTGAACATATACACACATAAGTACAAAATATTATCTTTATTTACAACTTTTGTGTCTGTCTTTGTGTATTGTCTTCTGTTTCTTTTTGTTGTTGTTGTTATTGCTGTTGTTTTATGCATGAATGTGTGTTATCATTTTCCTTGAATGCTTTGTGCTATAAGGCCATTTTAACATGTTCAAAATAAAATAATATATAAAGCCTTTTTTGTTCCAAATAGCCACTTAATCAGATTAAATCCAGAGCAGGCCACTGTTTCTTTTTCCTGACTTTTAAATAAAACATAGTAACAGTGAAATCCTGTTAGGGCCCTGATGAAAGTCGCATTTTATTTTTAAACCTGGTTGTGGGAGAGATTATAACAGTTGAGTCAACTTTCACACAAGACATCTCTAACTGGAACAGAAAACCTGCAGTCTCATATATCTTGAGTTTAATTCAATTCTAAATATACTGTGTATGGGCAAACATAAAACGTGACTTTGCCAGTTTTAAGAGAATTACTCACCAGTTGTGGAAGGTGTTTCTGTGGTGGGTGTTGACGTGGCCGTGCTTGTTGTTGCTGTTGTTGTGGGAATAACTACAGGAGGAAGGCTGGATTTTGTGTAAACTGCCTTGAATCCTTTGGAGTTGAAACGGTTGTCAGATTTGAAGCGTACAATCATTGTGTTGCCTCTGGACTCCACAGGCTTCGGTGTGCTACCTCCACAAAGTTTACCTGAGGAAGAGAAAGAAGACAAAGAGAAGGGACAAATGTTGTCCTAAATGTTAGTTTTGTCATCTATAAATTGCCCAAGCTGCATTAATGATGGAGTCTGTGGAGACAGATTCAAACCCATTAGGTTTTAAATAGACCCCAGAAACTCTACATCTTTTAATTGAGCTCATGTTTTATTCATGGAGCCACACAGTTTTTAATTTGGAATAAAAACCTTTTCTGATTTGGCTTTATACCACTCTTAGGAGTTTCACACATTGAAACTGTATTAATATGGGGGAAAATGCATAATGTAAGATATGTAAATATTTATGGTTGTGCAAATTAGCTGGAATTCAAAATCTTTTCTTGTTTTTTATTTATTTTTTTGACATCTTACCTATTAAAGATGAGCCGGGTGTGTGGCCATCATAGATTTGAATAAAGTCTCCGCAGACCTCAGGGACCAGGTCAAAAGAGGTAAATGTCAATCGGACCCTCTCGCCTTCAGGCACTGAGATTCTCCACTGATTCAACAAACACAAATATAAATTCATTGCTGATATCACACAGTAATTTAAGCATGAATAAGAAAGCAAATGTGAAAAACAAAAACAAAAACAAAAATAAAGAAACAAAGGAAACAGAAGAAAAAGAGATCAGATGAATAATTAATGAGCAGCTGTTTGCTCTGGGTGTCATGACAATGACATGAGCTGCATTTTGACATACTGTAACTCATCCATAATTCCATCAGATTCTGCGTCTGCCCGGACAGACAGTGATCTGCAGCAGCGAGAGATGAAACCACGACTGAGTCTAAGGCTGACTCTGTTCTTTCATTAAACACATTATTCACTGATCAAAAACCATAAACACCATCAGGATGATGTCACTGAAATCTAAAGCTAATTTCTGACATTATTTTGAGTAAAAAAAACCTAAAACCTTTAACTCACAAGTGTCAAATCAAGGCATGTGGGCCAAATCTGGCCTTTGGTAATGTTTTATCTGGCCCCAAAGGTAGTTTTCTCTTTTCGTCACTATGTTTAGTTGACCAACTTTTATTACAAGAAAATTACGTTTGAATTATTTTAGTAATTTTTGATTTTGGTGTAGAAAGAGTGACAGAGAAATGACTTTATTTGTTACTTATGTTTTAAAGTCAAATAATTTTTAGACATTTTACCTTTTTAAATGGATTTGCTGGACTGTGATAAGATGTGCCTTTCTGAATTTAACCTTTTCTCTGTATCCATTACGTATGTTCAAAATGCTTCAAAATACTGTACATAATTTGGAGAAGGTAATTTTTCTGTAGGAATAAGCTGTCATATAACTCTAACCCTAACAGAACTGGTCCAATTGGCTTGGACCACATTTTATGTTTTGGCCCCATTGAGTGACTGAGTTAGACACTCCTGTTTACATGTAGGCTTATCAGGCTCATTGTCCATGTTTAAAATAAGGATCTACTATTAAATCTTGGTTATCTGTTAAACTGTTGGGTTACAATTTGAGTAAGTTCGATCAAATACTTTCAAAACACTTGGGGTAAATCATAACCTATTTATTTTCTATTTATTTTCTATTTATTTTCTTCCAGGAGAAGAAATAAAACCGTTTCAGTCAATGTGAATCTTATTGAAATGCAGGTACTGATGTTTGTAGTCGAACCTGGTAGAGTGCTCCATTCAGGTAGTTCTGCTCTGGATGGCCTGGAGTCATCAGATCCCCCTGATCACCTTGAAGAAAACCACCAGCTCCAGCTATTTCTGGTAACAGGGATGAAGGATATTTGAGCAGCACTGACAACCAAAAGACACCTTCAAACATACTACCTAAAACTGACCTTTTTTAAAAAAAAAAAA